ATATCTCCTCCTGAGAGATATTTATGTTTTCTTGGTGTGTTCTATCTACATGTCTCTGATCCATGATGGCCAAAAGTTGAAGTTCTCCTTCTTATCTGCAAATAGCTTTAGAGTCCTGGTTAAATAGATATTTGTAATCCAAAGAGTTCAAAACAGATTCTTCTTCTTCTTCTTCTTCTTCTTCTTCTTCTTCTTCTTCTTCTTCTTCTTCTTCTTCTTCTTCTTCTTCTTCTTCTTCTTCTTCTTCGTCTTCTTCTTCTTCTTCTTCTTCTTCTTCTTCTTCTTCTTCTACTTCTTCTTCTTCTTCTTCTTCTTCTTCTTCTTCTTCTTCTTCTTCTTCTTCTTCTTCTTCTTCTTCTTCTTCTTCTTCTTCTTCTTCTTCTTCTTCTTCTTCTTCTTCTTCTTTTTCTTCTTCTCCTTCTCCTTCTCCTTCTTCTTCTTCTGCCATATCCGTTATCGGACGTTGGCGATCATGTTGGTGATCCTGTTTTTATCAGCAGCCGCACGAAAAAGTGCTGCTGAGTTTTGTCCAAACCAGTCCCTTAGATTTTGAAGCCATGATGTTCTTCTTCTGCCTGGACCTCGTTTGCCTTCAATCTTTCCCTGGAGGATTAAATGGAGTATGCCGTATTTTCCTGGGTGTCGCATCACATGTCCGAAATATTCTAACTTTTGTTTTTTAATTGTTTTGATGATTTCCCTTGGCTTTCCCAGGCGGCTTATCACCTCCTCATTTCTGATCTTGTCAACCCAGCTTATACGTAACAGCCGCCTGTAAATCCACATTTCAAATGCTTCTAGTCTCTTCAGGTGGCCTTCTGTCAGAGACCAACTCTCTACTCCATAGAGCAGGATAGAAAAAATATAGCATCTAACAAGACTGATTTTCAGTCTTAGGCTTATGTCGTGACTGTAGAAGACCTTTTTCATTTTGAAGAATGCTGTTCGAGCTTTCTCTATCCTTGTCTTTAGTTCAGTGGTCATGTCCCAGCTTTCATGCAAATTAGAACTGAGGTGTGTGATCTTTTCAACTTTTTCTAGTGGTATTCCTTCTGAATTTATTGATGGTAAATTAATGGGTTGTTTGCTGATGACCATGATCTTGGTTTTTGAGGTGTTAAGCTTCAAGCCGTATTTTTCAGATATTTCTGTGACTCTGTTGATGATGAGCTGAAGGTCTTCATGCTTACTGGCAAGCAGAACTGTATTTTTTTTCTAAAGTTTAAAACTCTCTTTGTCTGCAGCCCAGATTGTTGTGTTTTTTTGTCACAGCTTTGTTATTAAAGCTCTGAAGGTCACAAACACAGATTAGCTTTTCCCAGGTTTTGGCAAGTTCTCTATGGAAATCATAACTGTCATAATCTTCATCCACCACTAGGTGTCATAATCTATTTAGTTTTCAATATGAACAATGGTCTTTAAAATGAGAGTCTTAACCATTCAACAATTTTAAACTTGTCCAAAGTTAAATTTTAGCTTTCAAGTTTATAAATTTATTTCACTACCATATATTTTGATCCTCCATGGACATTTTAATTTACCGCTTCCATTAGTATAAGGGTGGGGCGGAAGTCCCCCTCCTTCACTTTCGGAGGTATTTTGCTTCTTGGGGATCTTTTCCAGGAAATTAAGTATAGAATAGAAAAGGGAAAATCAGATTCCTCACCCAGTTTCAAGCATGCTATTTACTGTTGTGCTGGTTAGCTCTTTTGGACTTTGGTTGCAAGTAGCTTGGGCTGATCAGTGAAATACAGCCTTTCTCCTGTTGGATTAGAAGGCTTTCCCCAAGACGAACGGAACAACTGCCGTCATTCCAGAGTTGCCAGGGCACTCTTCTTTCTTCGCTGCCTCTCTGGGGTGGCTTGGACCCATTAGGGTCTCCAGGCAGGACAAAAATTAGCTGCGGGGGTGTGATGGTCCGCAAGCCTGCAACCAGTCACTACCGCACAGGACCAGAAGTCCCCTGGAAAAAAGATCTTTTGGATGATCTCTTGAGTGGTCTAATAGATGACTGTTATAACATCTGCTTAAATTGTGTCTAGATTTTTTTTTTCAGAGAACACAGAATATATTGTCTGTTCAGGACATCATCTGCAAGATATGCTGGTATTGTTAGGTGAACATGGAAACCACTGAATGCATGTAGAATTATCAGATCTGGGCTGCTAAAATCCTAATGACCACTAGATGGCAGCAAATGATGGATGTGGGAAACTATCGAGTGGTTGCTGGGGTTTTTCCAAACAGAATCTGGTTCTGCTAAGCCAGAACCCAGAATATACATTACTACTAGACTTTATTCATAAATTTTGTAACATGAGTTTGTTCTTCGTGCTTACAAATCTCTACTTTTATTTTAAAGGAAAAACTATTCTAATGATAACAAGGGATAATGTTCACACATATATTCTGCAAATAGAAAGGAACTCAAGAAGAAAGAGTGAGTTAGGGGATTTTAGGGGAGGGGGTTGCACCTAGCTAGGGAAATACCGGTAAAAATTAATTATTTATGTGATTTACTTGCAGCCTCAATGCAAGCAGACTTCAGTCATCTATGGTGCATCCTTTAGAGAATGCTGAACGCCAAAAGAAAAAATAAGGTGGAATACCTACCGTATATTCCGGCGTATAGGGCAACCCAGCATATAAGACGACCCCCTAGTTCGACGCCGGGTCGCAAGACAATTGACGCCGAGTCACAAGACGATTGATGCTGAGTCGCATGCCTAGAAAGTCATCTTATACGCCGGAAACTACCAGTATTTCCGGCGTATAAGATGATGGACGCTGAGTCGCATGCCTAGAAAGTCGTCTTATATGCCAGAAACTACCTTATTTCCGGCGTATAAGATGACTCGGCGTATAAGATGACCCCTGACTTCGGAGGCTGTTTCGACACTCTCAAAAGTCGTCTTATACGCCAGAATACATGGTATGTCAGTGAAATACCTTGTTATCATTCTCACAAATATTGATGGATAGCAGCTTGTGCAGAAGATTATATACTTTCCAAGAGGACAATTCTGTTGACCGATATCTTTAAAGTGGCATGCTAATGTAGAATCATTTCCAAAGGACATTTGTCTGATGCTACCTTTGTCAAGTAAGCTTTCGGATGCTAAATGTTAATGGTTTTGATTTTTAAAGTTATTACTGTATCTTGACTTTTAATGTTGTATTTCATTTCTTGTATTGTAAGCTGTCCAATAAATGTGTTGATGAATGGCATATAATATATTAACATGGCATAGCTATGACAGCTAAGTGGAATTTTTTTCCATTTATTGACATATTGGAATGTTGAAGACCAACATCAAAGAATAGCCTGATCCCTCTGAATCAAGTTGTGAATTTCCAGGGATGTCTGGTTGATCACTGTGGAAACCAGAATGCTTTATTGGGTACAACTAAATTTAACATAAACCAAATGATAAAGAAATTGTCTGAGAAAATACAGTATGGATGTATGAATGTTTGTATGATGGGTCACAATAGACCTGTGTATGTGTGTTGTGTGTCTGTGTATTTGTATGATGGGTCATTAAAGATGCTACCCATGCAATAGACTTGTATGTGTGTGTTTATATACATATACATATATATTAACAAAATTAATAGAATAAATTACATATACATTTAATTAAGTAACAGCCCTAATAATACAGTATGTGATAAAATATAATAATACTCTCCTCTACTGGCCCTTATTCTGCATTTCTTCCTATTGTATTGATCACTACTAATAACAATGGATGGGTGGTGGGACTTTAGTTCTTTTAGTTCCTTCTATCTCAGGAGATATAAAGACGCAGCTCAGTTCTTTACTTGCATTCTTGCAGCACCACGCTATCAGTAGTACAGTTATTCAGAAAGGAATCATATAACTAGTTTGTTTAAAGGTGATTGAGTTTAAACAAGGAGAGTCTGGTGAATCCTGTGAATTGATTTTCCCTGTAGCTAAGGTGGCTTAAGAATGAAGCAAAGAGATGTCATGGAGATGGAGGTGCCATTGTGATGCTTCATGCTATTTCTACACACTGCTTATGATCATTGTTGTCAGTGTCTCAAACCTACTTCAGAGGTTTCGATCTTGAGATGCTAAAAAACATGTGGTAATGATGCTTCCCCCCCCCCCTAAAAAAGCAGTGTGAGATATGACTTGTAAAGTTTAGATAACTTAGATAGTTGGCCAACTGGATGAGAATTATAGAAACTGAATATGACATATGGAGAGCACTAACCTAGGGAAGTGTGATTTAAATCCTCTATGGTCTATTAATTATATTCTTTTTCAAAGCTATTTTCTTGTAAAGTACACCAAACAAAGACTGGATCTTAGAACAAAGGAAGTTTCGATTAGCAAAGCCATTCATTGTCCCCACTATGCCAGTAGCCAGAGTTCTTCAGTGCAAGGCCAGTGTAGTAGCTAGGAAGTCCTGCATCTTCAGTAGCAAAGTTGAGAAGACAACAGCAGTGCTTAAAAAGACAGCAAATATGGTCAGCTAGAAATGTTACTGCCACTAAAATTAGCAATGGAAGACTCTTCATATTCTGTCTCTTAGACAGAGCTGTCAGGCACAAAGTGAAGACTTTGGTGATATGGTTTCTAGACCAAGCAACATTGTCCAAATCTCTCCCATTACGCAAAATGTTAATCTAGACATTTTCTGGATGTATGGATTTTACTTTCCCAAATCCTTAGCACTAACTATTCTGGCTAGGGAATCCTGGAAATCAAAGTCCATACTTCTGGAAGGCATCCAGGTTGGGGAAGCATGGAAGCCATAGAGCTGTCAGGTGATACACTTTAGAAAGAAAATCAAATGACTCACCCAGGAGATGGATAGGAGATGACATGCCTGAGTTGCACAACCATACTTGGAATCCATTTCTAGGTCATACAAGAAAGACAGAATGTTGAGAGCCACCTTTACATAGAGATAACTGCTTCTAGAAGTTAATAAGAGCTGTGACAATAATTCTATCTTTACATTTTACAGGAAAGAAGACAGTGAACGTGTCACTCGTGTTCCCATCCTGGTTTGTTGCTATTTTTTAAATTCCATACATCTTCAATAGTATGTCCAGGTTAAATACACAGCAGAGCTTTTGTATTTGTCAGTCCTTCAAGATAGTCCAGACAGGAAGCACAAATTATGAGTACTAACAGTACCTTTATTGCTAGGTACAGCAACAATCTTGCAAATCTCCTTTAGTTTTCATGCTCCAGAAAACTAGAGAGGGTCCCACCTGAAATGCTTCCCCTGTCCCTTTTTTTGCCCTATGGCCTCATATAGTTCCTGCATAACGGTTGTCTAATCTCTTTTCTTCCAAGGTCATTCCCATGTACCATTACAGTACCTCTATTTCTTTTTAGGAATGTGAGAGTAGACGTTTAGTAGAAACTTTATGATGCTAGTTTACTCAGGTGGTCCTCATTTAATGTCCCTTCTATCACTGAATGAGTGGTAGTTCTCAGGTCACATGACCTTCCCTTACAACTTCCCACAAACCATGTCAATGGGAGATCCATCAGGAAGTTGGAAGTCATGGTCATGTGTGGTCCTTGCTTAATGACGGCAACCAGGACTTCTGGAACTACTGTCACTAAGTGGTGTAGATTATATTTATGACCACATTGTTTAATGACAGAATTTCTCATCCCAATTAATGTTAAATAAGGACTATCTGTCCTGATATCTATTTGTGAGTGAAATGGATTGGATAATTCCAATAGATTGGTTCCACTTTGACATTTTGTTTTATTTCTTTGGAGAAACATGTGTCTTGTGAGATGATACATGTTATCTAGGAAAATTTTCCATAGTCCACAGTTCCTGATAAAATTTGCTTGGGTGCATCTTACTTTTTCAAACACAAAAAATTCCAGAGGCAAATAGCAGCCTAGGTTTGGTTTCTTTGGTAATATTATTATGTATTTACAATGATACAGTACATAGAACAAAAAGTGAACAAATGCAAATTATATATGAAGGGCAAAATACAAGGACAAGTAGATGAATTTGTATACTTTGATAGACTGCTTACTAAAGACAGAAAGCGGATAGATAAATTTCCAGCTATGCAAATGTTGATAAAGACTGGGTAATACATTGTCTGTTTTGGGAATGAGTGTTATTTTTTTTAAAAAAGCAAAAATGAATTGGAAGGGACATTAGAAGTCTTCTATCTAGTCCAGTGTTTCTCAACCTTGACAATTTTAAGGCATGTGGACTTCAACTCCCAGAATTCCACAGCCAGCAATGCTGGCTGTGGAATTCTGGGAGTTGAAGTCCACATGCCTTAAAATTGTCAAGGTTGAGAAACACTGATCTATCTAACCCACTGTTTGAGCAAGAGACTCTATACCATTTTAGACAAATTGCTGTCCAATCTCTTCTTAAAAGCCTCCAGTGATAGAGCATCTCAACTTCTGAAGGCAAGCTGTTCCATTGGTTGATCGTTCTCACCACTAGAAAATTTCTTGTTACAATTATAGTGTGACTTTCCCCATTTCTCCCCTCCATTTTGGTACAATAAGCACTCCAGCACTGCATGATCATTAGAAGAAGATGCTATACTGAACACTCCAAGCATGAAGCCAACTCTTGTGCATAGTAAATCTTCAGTGAATTAGAGAGATTATTAATAATATTCCTTTTGGATACATATGCTCCCCATGCAGTAGAGCAGGGGTGCCAAACTGGTGGCCCACAGGCCAAATGCATCATGTGCAGGCCATACCCACTCCAATACACAAGGCAAACAATGTCGCGATATGTCACATCACATCATGTGTCACGATTGAGTTTGACACTCGTGCAGTAGAGGAAGTTTTCTCCCAGCGTATGTTTCATTTCTTCAGCCTCAGAGCCTTGCTGTGCCTCCATATCCTTAACATCCTTCCTTGCTGTCAGCCACCTGAACTATTTCTTGGGATACATCCAGCTGTTATTAACATCACAATTTTCTGTATCATTCTTTTGTTTACGGACAACAAGCTATTTTCTTAGAGAGTTTGATAAACGTATTATGTCCTTATTAGCTTGAGAATAGTGACTTTATTGCATTAGTTATTTTTAGCTCTTCCTAGCCACCACTATAAATGCTTGTGGCAATTACTCATTTCTGAACTAAAGCTTGCTCTTCTCCACCTTTCCTGTTTGGTGTGTCCTTATAGCAATATAAAATTATAATTCATTTTCTAGGCTTCCAGCGAGGTTCTACATCCTAGTAGGAAAACCATGCAACAGTTCCGTCTCCTGAAGAAAAAGACTAAAGATGACATTATTACTGCTGAGCTGATTGCTAAGAAACAAGACATCAAAATGAGGATGGAAAGAGTGGCCCAGTGCAGAGAGGAACTTCAACAAAAAGATCAGAATGCAAGTATTTTTTTCATCTATGAGAAAAGCCTTCAGATCCTGAGCTTACAAATGTAAAACACAAAGGCATGCAAATGAGTATTCCTCTTCTTGTCCAACTCTGTGGAGGAGTCTCAAAACACCTACTTCTACTTTTAAGCTGGGATATGAAATTGAAACAACTTTAGTGGATGCCCTATGTTGGGAATTGTTGTGGATGCTAGTTCCTTGTCTTTTTATACAGTAACACCAGGGCTTTTTTTCTCATAGAATGCCCAGAACGGAGTTCTGGCATCTTTTTTGGATGGAACCTTGTAGGGTAGGCAAGGCGGGTTGTATGACGTGTGTGAGTTCCAGCACCTTTTTTTTTTATAGAAAAAAAGCACTGAGTAACACAATTCCTTTCTCCTGACTAGAGTCTTCCTATCTCCTCTTTTTTTCTGTTGTTTTTTTTATGAATATTGATCTTGGGCATTAATACCTGTTTTCCCATACATTTTTAAAAGTATTTTTATTTTTATAAAAGAGTGAAAGAAAAATGACAGTAATAGAACATAATCTGCAGAAGCCTGTTTCTTCCCCCTCAAAACTATTTACATAGTAATTTGGTGAGAGATTGAGTGACCAAAGATCAACTTTTAGGAAGTTGAACCTCAACCACCAAAGTGAAGCTGTTGACTCACAAGTAGCTGCTGCTGGTCAGAATGATGAAGATATTCAGGAAATGGAGAGTATGAGACTGTGAAGAGATCACCAATGCCTCTCAAGGTCTCTTCCCCCTCCTTTGGGGAAAGAAGAGGAACAAAACCAACAGCATTGCTTGCCTTGGGCATGTTGGCTTCGGGGACATGCCATACTTCTTCTACGGCCTCGCTGGACTTTTTTGGGTCACTAGGGCCATGACTAGACTCTCACAGCCTGGTTTGCAGCAACCTGGTTTCTCCTGATGGAAGGCTGGTGTATTCAGGCATTTGGGGGTCAGAAAGCAGCATGATTGCTCACTAGCTCTCCAGAAAATAAATCTTGGTTATTTATTTGTTTTTTCTGCATATAACAGAGGTGTGAATTAGATGTTCTTTATGGTTCATTCTAATTCTATACATCTATGATTCTCTGAAATTACCATGTCAGCTTCCCTGCCTTTGGCTATGAAGATGAAGCACATTTCTAATATCCCAAAGGTGCTTTTTTTTTTTTAAGAACAACTATGACCTGGATGACTGAGACTATCCATAGACATTCACATTACTAATACTTGACAGCATCTTCAAAAACCAGAAAGGCTATTACACACTTTAAGGATCTTCAACTGTAAGATGATAGATTTTTGCTAACTTCTAAGAGATACATTAAGAGGAATGTGATTAATAGTCCTGTGTCAAGCAAAACAAGAACAATATACACCAGCTGAAAGGTTTATACTGTGTAGGCCAAATGTCCAATCTCTTTTCTAGCCCAAACTGAAATGCATGTAGTGGGTCCTGCTGAGCTACCAAATGGAGAGTGGTGTATGCCCACAATAGATGTAATAGATCAGTAGGAATTGAGCATATCTCCACTCCATCTGTCGTCACTGGCACTATCACCAAAGCAGCATAAAGTGTTTATATGTCAACATTTGTGAAGAGGAATGATATTACTTTATCACTTCTTGTCCTAGCCTCTGTTTCATCAGAGAACAAATCTGCCATCTTTTACATAGGCAGCCTCTCACATATTTGTAAATGAGTCTCAGCTCTCCCCTCAGTCTAGTTTTGAATTCCCCCCTCCATTTCAACAGAATTTGGAAAGAAATTGCGTAAAAGTCAGGACTTTATCTGTCTGTCTGCCAGCATAACAACCTTCCAAAAACTGAACAAAACAGGGCCAGATTTGATATAGGGGAAACAGGTCTTCTGAGTAGTAAAACTAATGCAAAATTCAGTAAACATTTTCTCTCCTTTCTTAATCAGAACAGGACTCAGGCTTATGGATTCCAAATTTATCTCCAAGAATGTGACCTGAAAAAGGAACACCCTGTTGCAAAATACAAGATTGAACAAAAAAACAATGCACTAAAGAGGCAAAAAATACATACATTGAAAAGAGAGATTCAAAAACTGAAATTTAGGTATGTGACAGATTGAGGAGACGCCAGGAATTTAGACCTAAGATTATATAATCAATGTGAATGACTGGGGTTCCAAATATGATGGTAATTTGCTATAGCAAGATAAAATTATCTTTGGATCACCATACATATGGCATTTATAATTAATTATCTTTATAAATTAAAACATAAAATACAATCTAAAAAGTATTTCAATTCCGTTAAAAATAAAGCAAGCCTAAAATATTTCGCCCGAGCAGTTCTGCATTTGGAATGAATAGGTTCATGGTTTCAGGCTTGACCTTCTATAGCAGAGGTGGGGAACCATGGCCCTTTTAACTTGTGGACTTCAACTTCCTGGCTGGCTCAGGAATTCTGGAAGTTGAAGTCCACAAGTCATAAAAGGACCATAGTTCCTGACCTCTGCTCTAGAGGCTTCAGAGTGATTCAGTCTATTATCTACTTCTACTGCACTTCTTTATATATACCTTGTGTCTGTTTTCTCATAGTGACTAGCAGTGCTAATTGTACCATTAAGCAAAATGAGGTGACTGTTATAGACAGTAAATATTTTTAACAAAATTTTATTATGTTTATATAGATAAGGAAAAATAGAAACAATACAGGTATGGTAAAGGAAGGGGTGGAAGGAAAGGGGAAAGGGAAGGGAATAAGGAATTAGGGTAAAGTAAGGATAGGTACCCCCTTTATGGATTACTGCCTTGTCGTGGTGAAGGGGCATGTGTAACTCAGTGAAGCTATAAGCTATGCCGTGCAGGGCCACCCAAGATGGACAGGTCATAGCAGAGAGTTCTGACAAAATGTGATCCACTGGAGAAGGAAATGGCAAACCACTCCAGTATCTTTGCCATGAAAACCCCATGGACAGTACTAAAAGGCAAAAAGATATGACGCTGGAAGATGAGCCCCTCAGGTCGGAAGGTGTCCAATATGCTACTGGGGAAGAGCAGAGGGCTAGTACTAGTAGCGCCAGAAAGAATGAAGCGACTGGGCCAAAGCCGAAAGGACGCTCAGCTGTGGATATATCTGGTGGTGAAAGGAAAGTCCGATGCTGTAAAGATTTTTTCTCCATAGGAACCTGGAATGTAAGATCCATGAATCAAGGCAAGCTAGACGTAGTCAAAAAAGAGATGACAAGACTGAACATCGACATCTTAGGAATCAGCGAACTAAAATGGACAGGAATGGGTGAATTTAACTCAGATGACCATCAGGTATACTACTGTGGGCAAGAATCCCTCAGAAGAAATGGAGTAGCCTTCATAGTCAATAAAAGAATAGGAAAAGCAATACTGGGATACAATCCCCAAAATGACAGAATGATCTCAATTCGAATCCAAGGCAAACCATTCAATATCACAATAATCCAAATCTATGCCCCAACCACTGGTGCTGAAGAGGATGAAATTGACCGGTTCTATGAAGCCCTACAGCACCTTATAGAATTAACACCAAAAAATGATGTCCTTATCATCATGGGGGATTGGAATGCTAAGGTAGGAAGCCAAAAGATAACCGGAATAACAGGCAAGTTTGGCCTTGGAGTACAAAATGAAGCAGGGCACAGGCTAATAGAATTTTGTCAAGAGAATACGATGGTCATAACAAACACTCTTTTCCAACAACCCAAGAGACGGCTCTACACATGGACATCACCAGACGGTCAACATAGAAATCAGATTGACTATGTGCTCTGCAGCCAAAGATGGAGAAGCTCTATACAGTCAGTAAAAACAAGACCAGGAGCTGACTGTGGCTCAGATCATGAGCTTCTCGTTGCAAAATTTAGGCTTAAATTGAAAAAAGTAGGGAAAAGCACTAGGCCACTCAGGTATGAACTAAATCATATTCCTGATGAATATACAGTAGAGGTGACAAATAGATTTAAGGAATTAGATCTGATAGACAGAGTGCCTGAAGAACTATGGATGGAAGTTCGCAACATTGTACAAGAGGTAGCAACTAAAACCATCCCAAAGAAAAAGAAATGCAAGAAAGCAAAATGGCTGTCTGAGGAAGCTTTGCAAATAGCTGAGGAAAGAAGGGAAGCGAAAGGCAAAGGAGAAAGAGAAAGATACACCCAATTGAATGCAGAATTCCAGAGAATAGCTAGAAGAGATAAGAATGCCTTCTTAAATGAACAGTGCAAAGAAATAGAAGAAAACAACAGAATAGGGAGGACCAGAGATCTCTTCAAAAAAATTGGAGATATGAAGGGAACGTTTCATGCAAAGATGGGCATGATAAAGGACCAAAATGGCAGGGACCTAACAGAGGCAGAAGAGATTAAGAAGAGATGGCAAAACTACACAGAAGAACTAACTATACAAGAATGAGCTTAATGTCCCAGATAACCACAATGAGTTGGTCACTGACCTCGAACCAGACATCCTAGAATGTGAAGTGAAATGGGCCTTAGAAAATCTGAGCAACAACAAAGCTAATGGAGGTGACAGTATTCCAGCTGAGCTATTCAAAATCTTAAAAGACGATGCAGTAAAAGTGCTACACTCAATTTGCCAGCAAATTTGGAAAACTCAACAGTGGCCACAGGATTGGAAAAGGTCAGTTTACATTCCAATTCCAAAGAAAGGCAATGCCAAAGAATGTTCAAACTATCGCACCATTGCACTCATTTCACATGCTAGTAAAGTTATGCTTAAAATCCTACAAGCTAGACTCCAGCAGTATGTGGATCGAGAACTACCAGAAGTACAGGCAGGATTTCGAAGAGGCAGAGGAACTAGAGATCAAATTGCCAACATACGCTGGATCATGGAGAAAGCTAGGGAGTTCCAGAAAAACATCTACTTCTGCTTCATTGACTATGCAAAAGCCTTTGATTGTGTGGATCACAACAAATTGTGGCAAGTTCTTAAAGAGATGGGAGTACCAGACCATCTCATTTGTCTCTTGAGAAACCTATATGCGGGTCAAGAAGCAACAGTGAGAACCGGACACGGAACCACTGATTGGTTCAAAATTGGAAAAGGAGTCCGGCAAGGCTGTATACTGTCGCCCTGCCTATTTAACTTATATGCAGAGCACATCATGAGAATGGCAGGGCTAGATGAAACAAAAGTTGGAATTAAGATTGCCGGGAGAAATATCAACAACCTAAGATATGCAGATGATACCACGCTAATGGCAGAAAGTGAAGAGGAACTAAAGAGCCTCTTGATGCGGGTGAAAAGGAGAGTGCAAAAGTTGGCTTGAAACTCAACATTAAGAAAACCAAAATCATGGCATCCGGCCCTCTCAATTCCTAGCAAATAGATGGGGAAGAAATGGAGGTAGTGACAGATTTTATTTTTCTGGGCTCCAAGATCACCTCAGATGGGGACTGCAGCCAAGAAATTAAAAGACGCTTGCTCCTGGGGAGGAAAGCTATGGCAAATCTAGACAGCATACTAAAAAGCAGAGACATCACCCTGCCAACAAAAGTGCGTATAGTCCAGGCCATGGTTTTCCCAGTTGCAATGTATGGCTGTGAAAGTTGGACCATAAGAAAGGCTGAGCGCCAAAGAATTGAGGCCTTTGAACTATGGTGCTGGAGAAGACTCTTGCGAGTCCCTTGGACTGCAAGGCGTTCAAACCGGTCAGTCCTAGAAGAGATCAACCCCGACTGCTCTTTAGAAGGCCAGATCCTGAAGTTGAAACTCAAATACTTTGGCCACCTAATGAGAAGGAAGGACTCACTGGAGAAGGGCCTAATGCTGGGAAAGATTGAGGGCAATAGAAGAAGGGGACGACAGAGAATGAGATGGCTGGATGGAGTCACTGAAGCAGTAGGTGTGAACTTAAATGGACTCCAGAAGATGGTAGAGGACAGGAAGACCTGGAGGAACATTGTCCATGGGGTCGCGATGGGTCGGACACGACTTCGCAATTAACAACAACAACAACAAAGGATAGGTACAATCACATATTTCAACAAACAAACTACCGTCCGGATCATAATAATGAGTAAATATCATATTCAACCATTTTTACCAGAGCTTGGACTATAACATATTAGAAACAATTAGTAATAGACAGTAAATATTGAGGTGTCCTAGAAGTGAGACAGATATTGGAAACGCAGACAGAACTGTTTGTGCATGTAGCATACACTGTATCTCCTCAAAATATCCTGTAACAAGTACTGAATAAAGATTTGTCAAGCAGCTCAATAAAATGGAAAGAAACTCTTTTGATTAACGTTGCTGGGAAGGTTGAGATTGTATTGCAATGTTTGTAGGCAGTTTCTCCAAATGAATCCCATAACTGGATAATTTATCTGTAATGGGTAAATGTATGATATGCTAGCATATACGTTCCACTTCTGTAAATATTAGCAAATGTATAATATGCTAGCATATACAGTATATCCTACTCTCTGAGCAGTGAAAACATTAAGAAACAGAGCATTTACCTGTGCTTTATTTCCTTTAGAATGAGATCACTAAAAGTTCTCTGGCAAGCCATAACATTTGCATTCAATTTTAAAAGATACTGGTTTGCTCTAGAAATAAAAGATTCAGGTAAACACTGGAGCAGACATTCAAATTATCTAGCTGTGACAAAGAACTCTAGGAAATGCCCAGCTCCCCCACACTAAACATTATTTTCATTTGCCTGATCATATAGAAGGCAATTGAGTTCCTATGATATTTCTAGTGTGCAACAAAAATATTTGCCAATGTTTTTAATGAAATCTTGTTCAAAGCCCAACCTTAGAATCATAGTGATCAGGGATTCTATTTAATTCTCCAATACATAAAGCACTACTTTATATTATAATATTATTCTAAAATAAGAAATGTAGATTAATACCTTTGGACTAGAGGTTTATTTAACTGATGAACTTGGAAGGATATTCAGCATAGAGAAACATCTGCTTTTCATATAGAAGATTTAGTCTTGGATATTTCTAGTTAATAGATCTCAGGGAATGGTTGTGTTCCTGAAGGAAATGCTGGACAAAACTGGACTAGATTAATAAATAATTGATCTGATATAAACCTGCTTCAGAATGAGTTTGAAATGAAAGATTGGTTGAATTTTTACTGTACAGTTTCTTAAAATCCTCTTGAATCAGTACAGCTCTATTTTTACATAGTTGCTAGTTGAGAAACTGTTGCCAAGGAAAACTCCAAAATGTGGGATCCCCATCAATCTCATTTCTGCTAACTCTCCAATGAGGAGAGTTCCCCCATAGCATTTCCCTTCTCCTTCTACACAAGTGATAAGAATAAAGAGACATTCCTAGTTACAGATCAACTCTATTTACTTGCATTCAAAACTTAAGGATGGGATAACTTACTATGTGCACACAACAATAAGAAAGTTCAGTCCTTTACTGAAAATGGACTCTTTCTTTCTCCTAACATCTAAGAAGACTCAAAACAAATCTAGCACAATTTAAAAACATAACCATACCCAAACTATTCAGACGTCTCCCATCTCTGTATACTTACAACCTTGGTTAACTTGCACATGTCTCATAGAATAGTTTACATTCTCCTCATTCTGGCTCAGTCTGATTCTTCTTGCTGTCCCTGCTGCTCCTGGCCCAAATCTAGCTTGGCTGCTCTTTGTCTCTTCCAGACCCAGTCCAAATCCAACTGATCTTCACTGGATGCTTCTCAATCTCTTGGCCTCAGTCCTTTCCCCAGTTAAGGCTCTGTGGGAGTCTTTTCTAATAACCCATTTACCTGCTCCATCTGGAGAGTTAGTGCTCTTTGTGAATAATTTTAGCACTCTTTTTACTTTGTAGTGGTTGCATGATAACCCTTCCACTGTATGACTGATAATATATAGCTATCTCCTAGCAAGATATTTTTGATAAAACATCAAAATAAATATCTTTGTTCTCTTTCTTCAGACAACATGAGCTACAGAAGAAGATAGCCAAATATAAATGTTATGGATATTTTTTGAAAAAAATTGTCAACATGTTGCCACCAGGTGCGTACCATCATTAAAACATTCCTTGAGAATAATTTGCTTGAAACTGTACCATACCTTTAAAAGGCCACATAACAGGTTGCAAAACTTTTAAAACCTATAAATCAAGTTTTAATGACCATTTTTCATTATTTTAAATAATTATCTTAATCTCATTAATCATCTCTTAAATAATAAAGTAACAAATAAAATGACAAATCGAATGACACGTATATTCAAAGAGACGGCAAATAAGATTCTGAGACCTAAAGCAGCAATTACTGACAATATCAGTCAGCCCGTCCCTGCTTCACAGATGCACAACTTTTGAAATAAAGCCATTTTTTTAAATGAAACTGATGTAAGACAATGTAGAGATTTATTAGACTTGGTAGTTTAGGTGAAAAGACGGGCAAATGAAGGGCTTGGCACTTTCCTTCAAATCCCTTCAGAATTCCTTCAGGATTTTATGTGATGTGAAAGGACGAACTTTTGTCCTTGACAGTTTGTCCTTTCACATCACATAAAATCCTTTGCATTATACAACGTTAATTAGCAGTAAGGCACTGTGAACTGAATGGCTTATTTTTCACAGGCATGCACACTATACAGTAGGATTGCTGTGCTATTTTATTCTTTCTTCATTTCCAAAAGGCAACACCATCATTCCTCTTATTTATGATCGGTTTCTGCCTTTTTTATGTTCTTTAAGGACATAAGGGCATTTCTGAAAAATAGGCCATTTTGGCCTTGGAGAAATTGAATCCTCTCTAATGCATGTGAATGATTTTTATGGGCATATTCTCATATAAACAGTCTCCCAGACTGATGCTATACTAGAGGGCACATGTTCACATGTGTGTACATGAATGTAGCAACTGATTTTTCTGCCTCACTCAGGTGGCAGTTCTAAGCTCTTCAGTAACCATTGCCTGATGTGTGTTGTCCTTGAATAATATAATCTCCCCTCTTTTCTATTACAGACTTTTGGGGATATCAGGAAGATGCTGTCATTAAAACCCTCACACAAAGGCATAAGACCCTGTTCTCTATAAATCAGAAGTTGAAGAATCATTTGTTCAGCCAAGAAGAAAACATTGAGACAATCCATCATAAAAGTGCTGCCATACAAGAAGAACATAACACCATGAGATTTGTAATGTTACCTGACCATGTGTTTTTTTTTATTAAAAAGTTTTATAAGTTTTACAAAAAGAACAAAACAATACAAAAACAAAAAACAACATATACAAAGAAAAAACTAAACATTACACAACAAAACCCCCCTTCCCCAACCCCCGCCCAAACACCCCCCCTTTCCCCCCCTGAGCTTCCCAGAGCAGAATATAGGCTTAATTAAAAAACAATTAAAAATTATATTTATAAAAAAATATATATATATAACATTAAGATATATATGATGCTTAATTACGACTGTATGTTTACTTCAGAGGCCTGGTTATCCATGCCACGGAGTCTGTTAATTCTCTACTGATTTCTTAATATGGAGTCAGTTCTGCTTTCTGAAAAGGATAAAGCTTTAAAACTATTATCAGGGCAAAGCACACTCACCCTGTGAATTTTGTGCTTCGTTCTCTAATTATTGGTACACCTATTCTCTGAGCAGGGTCTAATTATGGTCATGCCTCAAAGACAGAATATTTGATTTCAGTTTATGAATGGGATATAAATGGATAATATATCAGGAGGAAAAAAAGACTACAACATTTCTTTCCAGTGTACACCATTTTATATATTTCAGTATGGCATTAAAGTAAACAAGCTGTTTACTAGTTGAATATACTAATCAAAACCTGACTTTTCCTCCAAGCACTGGGGTAGGGTAAGGTGGATGAGGGGATTTAATGATGGACTGCATGAAGAACTTAATTTTGGAGCCAAGTTCTTAATGTTTATGGTTTTAATATGTTAGTTTAATAGTTATAACTATTAAAACCATAACCATGAAAAATCTGGCACCAAAGTTAAGCTTCCAAATGCAGTCCATCATTAAATCCCCTCATCCACTCTATTATTTTTATTATTAATGTTGTTTTAATGTTGGTTGGGAGCCACCCAAAGTTTGATATAAGATGGGTGTTTATATATGTGTTAAATAAAATAATAAAATAAGTAATCATTATGGCCAATTTCTTCAGATGTAGCCAGAATTAGTAGCAGTCCTAGCCAGCATAGCCAATAGTAAGACATGCTAGGAATTCTAGTTAGTTTAGTACTTCAGCAATATGTTGATTCAGACTTATCCTGCAAGTCAGTGAGAGAACTTTTAGAAGAATCTGATCTGCATTCTGCAATTCTCCGAATCTTAAAGAGAAAGATTTTGTCACCTGCTATATGAACATTTTTATAGAAGGTATTAAGGATTGTACTAGGATGGTGACAAGCAAAGTGATTGTTCTGCCTCCTGTCCAGCTCAGATGTATATTTTAGTGGAGCAAAGAAAAAAACACTCTCAGAATAAGAACCTCATTTTATTGACCCAGATTCTAATTCACCATCACTCATGGAAACTCAGTAGATGACTTTTAGCCACTGTCCTTGACCCAATCTACCTCAAAGGATAGTGGTGGTCCCTTGTTCCAAGGACTGATACTATTGTAGTGCAGTCTAGACATTTATTGACCAAATTTTATTACTGTAAAACCACCAACATGACACATTTGTAACTATAGATGAGAGGAATCAGATGCACATATTTTTTTCTTTTTTCAAAAAACTATAATAATAATAATAATAATAGTAGTAAAGTTGGAAGGGACCTTGGAGGTCATCTAGTCCAACCCCCTGCTCAGGCAGGAAACCCTATACCATTTCGGACAAATGGCTGTCCAGTCTCTTCTTAAAAACTTCCAGTGTTGGAGCATTTACTGCTTCTGGAGGCAAGCTGTTCCACTGATTAATTGTTCTCACTGTCAGGAAGTTTCTCCTTAGTTCTAGGTTGCTTCTCTCCTTGATTAGTTTCCACCCGTTGCTTCTTGTCCTGCCTTCAGGTGCTTTGGAAAATAGCTTAATTCCCTCTTCTTTATGGCAGCCCCTGAGATATTGGAATACTGCTATCATGTCCCCCCTTGTCCTTCTCTTCGTTAAACTAGACATACCCAATTCTAGCAACCGTTCCTTATATGTTTTAGCCTCCAGTCCCCTAATCATCTTTGTTGCTCTTCTCTGTACTCTTTCTAGAGTCTCAACATCTTTTTTACATCGTGGTGACCAAAACTGGATGCAGTATTCCAAGTGTGGCCTTACCAAGGCATTGAAGAGTGGTATTAATACTTCACGTGATCTTGATTCTATCCCTCTGTTAATGCAGCCTAGCACTGTGTTGGCCTTTTTGGCAGCTGCAGCACACTGCTGGCTCATATTTAGGTGATTGTCTACTAGGACTCCGAGGTCCCTCTCACAGTTACTACTATTGAGCATGGTGCCACCTATGCTGTACTTGTGCATTTGGTTTTTCTTGCCTAAATGTAGAACCTTGCTTTTTTCACCATTGAATTTCATTTTGTTAGTTAGTGCCCAGTGTTCAAGTCTGTCCAGATCCTTCTGTATCTGAAGCCTGTCTTCTGGAGTGTTGGCTATTCCTGCCAGCTTGGTGTCATCTGCAAATTTGATGAGTTCCCCATCTATCCCTTTATCCAAATCATTGATGAAGATGTTAAAGAGTACTGGGCCCAGAACAGAGCCCTGGGGCACCCCACTACACACTTCCCTCCATATAGATGCAGTTCCATTGAGGACCACTCACTGAGTACGGCCGGTCAGCCAGCTATGGATCCATCTGGTGGTGGTTCTGTCTACCCCACATTTTTCTATCTTGTCATGTAGTAGGTTGTGATCTACTTTATCAAATGCCTTACTGAAGTCCAAGTAAATTATCTCCACAGCATTCCTCTGGTCCACTAATTTTGTCACTTGGTCAAAGAATGCAATAAGATTTGTCTGGCATGATCTATTTTTGACAAACCCATGTTGGCTTTTAGTAATGACTTTGTTTGCCTCTAGGTGTTCGTTGATTCATTGTTTGATTATCTTTTCCAGGATCTTCCCAGGTATTGAGGTCAGGCTGATAGGTCTGTAATTTCCTGGATCCATTTTTTTTCCTTTTTTGAGGATGGGAACTACATCAGCTCTTTTCCAGTCCTCTGGTAGTTCCCCTGTGTTCCAGGATCTTTGAAAAATATAGTTCAGTGGCTCCGATATCACATCTGCCAGTTCCTTGAGAACTCTGGGGTGTAATCCATCTGGTGCTGGCGATTTGAACTCATCTAGGCTGGACAGGTGCTCCCTAACCATTTTCTTGCCTATCTTAACTGGTGTTTCTGTTTTGTTTTTTATGGTACTATTTTTGATAGGTTGGTCTGTTTTTTCCCTTTGTGTAAAGACAGATGCAAAAAATGAGTTAAATAGTTCTGCTTTCTCCCTGTTGCTTGTCACCTTCTTGCCACTTCCACCCACTAATGGACCAATCATTTCCTTCACTTTTTTCTTGTTTTTTACATGTTGAAAGAAGCTTTTTTTGTTATTTTTGACTTTGGTCGCAAGCCTTAGTTCATTTTGAGCCTTGGCTTTCTTCACTTCATCTTTGCAGGCTCGGGCTATTTGCTGATATTCTGACTTAGTTATGTTCCCCTCTTTCCACTTTCTATACTTGTCCTTTTTATCTTTCAATTTGTCAGAGAGTTCTTTATGCAGCCATGCTGGTTTCTTTTGAGAGCTGTTGTTTTTCCTCTTTGTTGGTATTGTGCTAGACTGTGCTTTTATTATCTCATTTTTCAAAATTTCCCAAGCTTCTTGAGTTGTTTTCCCCTTGAGGATTCTCATCCATGGAATCCTTCCCAAGCCCTCTCTAAGTTTATTGAAATTAGCTCTCTTGAAGTCCAAGACTCTAGTTTGACTGTGTTCTATTGGTTGTGCTTCTATAATGTTGAATTCTAATATTGCATGATCACTTCCTCCCAGGGGTACCTATGGCTTCAACACCGTCTATCATTTCATCTCTGTTAGTGAGAATTAGATCCAAAATGGCTAATCCCCTAGTTCCCTTCTCTACTTTTTGGGAGACAAATTGTCTGCTAGGTTTGCCAGGAACCTGTTTGATCTTCCACTTGGTGCGGAGTTTGTCTCCCAGTTGATGTCAGGGTGGTTAAAGTCCCCCATTACTATTGTGATGTGCTTCCTACATACCTTAGTTAGCTGACTAGCAAAAAGTTCATCTATTTCCTCTGTTTGGTTGGGTGGTCTGTAGTATACACCTATGGCAATGTCATTTCCCCCCCCCTTTTATATTGACCCAAATGCATTCAAGACAGTTTTTATCATTGTTGTACTCTATTTCTGTGGAGATGTAGTTATTTCTTATATAGAGAGCAACTCCACCTCCTCTTTTATTTGGTCTGTTTCTTTTAAATAATTTAAATCCCTCTAGCTGTGTGTTCCATGTGTGAGTTTCATCCCACCATGTTTCCGTAATGGCAACAATATCGTATCTGCCCTCATTAACCTGAATTTCTAGTTCACCCTGTTTGCTGTTCATACTCTGTGCATTGGTGTATAAACATTTGAGTCCTTTGTGAGTGGCCCTGTGTTTCCTTTCTACATAACCTGTGTGGTGCCTGAGTTCCCCTATTGTCTTACCACCTATTTGGTTAGTGCACTTTATGTGGCACTCGCTATTAGAGGCTTCATTTTGCTTGATAGCAAGGTTGGTATTCTTGTCCACACACACATCTATGCTACATGCACTGATATCCCTATAGTTTTTAAATTGCCGGGGACAGGGTTGTTCCGTATCAATTAACTCCCTGTCCCCGCTGTTTAGTTTAAATTTCCCTCCAGAAAATCTGTGAATTTATAGCCGAGTAACTCAGTCCCTTTTTTTGATGGATGCAAACCATCTCTTTTGTACATCTTTTGATTGGACCAGCTACTGACATCGTGACTAATATATCCAAAGCCTTCCCCTTTACACCACTCCTTTAGCCACATATTGAATTGTGCTATGCGCTGGCCTTTTCCGTTTTGCTCCTTATACACTGGTAAAACCTCTGAGAAAGTAAGCCTACAGCCTATTCTGATAAGTTCCTTCCCCAAGCTCTGGAAATCATTCTGCACAGAGAGTACATCTTTTTGGGACAGATCATTGGTGCCAAGATGTACAATAGCCTCCACATCACAGTCCTTGCTGCCATTCTTGATTATTTTAGAAATACGCTTCTTGTCCCTACTGGCAGTAGCACCTGGAAGACACCTGACCTCTTTCAAAGCCTCTGTGTCCTTTCCTAAATCCTATCCTTTTTTTCTATTATATGCTTCAACCTAGGTATTGATTAGCAAAGTTTCTGAGCTCCAATCAAAGTGTAATGCACTGAAGGAAAGAAATATACATCTGATTAATTATATTGATAATAAAGAAGGCCTCATAAGTCAATATGTAAGTATCATGCACTTCTTTTTCTCAAAATCCCCCCACTTTTCTTCCAGCCTTCAGGCTAGAGTGGGAATGGAAAAATATTGTTTTCATTTAAAATGCAATTTTGCAGTTCAACAGGACAACATTCCTCACTCCAAAGAATAGGTAGGATACACTGGTAGTTCTATCATTAGTTTTTGTTACTAGCATTGTTGGGAAGGAAATAAGAATGGAAAAATCAAAGCCTACTGAAGGATAGTGGAGAAGATGTTCAGTTGTTACTATTAGTGTACAGAAACAGTTCCCTAAAAAGGGAAGCAGAAGAATCAGAATAAATGGAAAAAGAAAATAATCCAATCATTTGTTGAAGGGTGGTATTATAAAGAAATCAAGTGTAAATTAACTGAAAACTATTGCTTGCTTCAATGATATTGATCTCAGGAACAATTACACAGTTCCTGGAAAAAAGGTAGGATACAAATTTAACAAATAAACAAAAGTAGTTCTCTAGGACAGTAAACAGACGAGATCAGGCCAAGTGAAAAACCGTGGGGACCAGATGGAGAATTTCAGGGGGTATCAGAAGAAGCAGCTCAGCCCAGAGGTGGGAACTATGATAAGAAAAAAAGTCAAAGAAAGACCGCCTTAATTGATTTACTATAATATTACTTTCTTTTTAGAAATTTCAGCTTTATGTTTTTACCCTAACTAGCTTAAAAATGTTCCCCTGAAATTTGTTTGATTCTTGCTTCTTGAGTTTGCCACCTACGTTGGGCTTCAAAAGCTGCTAGCATTTCCAAGAACTAAGCAAAAGTGACAGTCAACTATAGCTATTCTTAAGATGTAGCATAACTTAGAGCAAATCCACACAGCCTCCTTGTTCCTTTGTGAGATTGGCCCTCTCTTTCCAGAAAGCATGTCCACCAGCAATCCACCCACAGCTAAAGCAGCTCAAGGATTGCAAAGGATTGCTTTGCTCTAGAAGAGGTGTTTTCCCTCTTATCCCACCACCAGATACTAAATTTATTTATTTATTTAGCAGATTTATATAGTCACCCACCTCATATAACATTACTCTAGGCAGCATAATAACAATAAAAATCATAAAACACTCAAATAGGGGAGACATAATAGAAGTATTCCAGTATCTGAGGGGCTGCCACAAAGAAGAGGGGGTCATATTATTCACCAACGCACCAGAGGGCAGGAAAAGAAACAATGGTTGGAACTGATCAAAGAGAGAAGCAACCTGGAATTAAGGAGAAACTTCCTGACTGTGAGGACAATTAACCAGTGGAGCAGCTTACCCCCAGAAATCGTGGGTGGTCCATCACTGGAGATTTTAAAGAAGAGATTAGACAGTCACTTGTCTGAGATGGTATAGGTTCTCCTGCTTCAGTAGGAGGCTCCAAGGTCCCTTCCAGCTCTATTCTATTCTAAATATAAGTGAAAAGGAAAACAAGAGAAAAATCTTGATCAGGTAGGAAGGCTACTTGAGCTATAGGAGAAGAATAATGTCTGATTGATTGGAATATTCCAATCAATCAAATGTTATTCTTCTCCTATAGCTCAAGTAGCTTTCCTACCTGATCAAGATTTTTTTTCAATTTAATTGCTCCTTGCCACAAATCAAAATATTTATAATAATACAAGCTCTGATCAATAAATATAATTCACATTTGCTGTCAACATGCAAAATCATCCCACCATGCTCATTATAGAATGAGAAAATTAAGGGCCATAATGTTGGTGAAGATGGTGCTGTATTTAACTTTCATTTTACTTTTGATAAGTGATTTCTTCAATGCAAGTCAATACATTGAATTCAAGGCAACTCATTTTTTTTAAGGTTTGTCTATCTATTTCTTTATATTTCCTGCAGACTCGAGAATTAAGCAGGATGCTGGTAGGAATCTCCAACATGGCAGAGCGGTGCTATATGAAGCATTATGGTCCTTTGGAGCAAATGTCTTTCCAGTCCAAGCTGGATATGATCCAAGTAGGTAAATCTGTTTGAGCTTCTAAAATCAAATTTGCACAGAACAGAGCAGAACATCTTGTCTATGACAATTGAATGAAGTGTAAATCTAAAGGGAAGAAACATTTATTCATACATAGTAATCACTGATGTCATTCTGTTACCTCAAAACTGCTGTTGTTTTTTCATCCTTGAGCTGATCCCAGATTCAGTGCTTTGATCCCTCTGCAAAAGCTGTTGCCCAAGCCATTTCACAATTCAGTAGAGTAATGCTTATATCATTTGCCTGAAATGCAGAACATATTCATGTTTGAAAACATGTCAGATATTTTTTAATTAAGTATCCACTTCATTCTTTAAGAAAAAGTCTCTAATGCATAGTTCATAGTTTTTCCTGTTTATATCAGTAGCAGGGTTTCATTCCTGCTGCTAAATATCCCCAAATGTATAGTACTTTATTTGGGTTATTTGGAAGCTGGGTAAAAAAAATACACCCTCCAGTGTTTCAAGGATGCATCAGTGAGCTTATTCAAAGGAAACCAAATTAAGCAAATTTAAAAAACAAATTAAAAAATGCACCAGAAAAATGAGTGGCTAACTCAGGGAAAGAATTATCTGCAGTACTGTGTTTTGAATTAAGGTTCTGCAAGTCAGTGAATGTTATAACCACAGTGCAACTGGCACCTCTTTGGTAACAGCAGGTGCAGAAGAAATTAGAGAGCTGCTGGACAGTGACCATTGACCCAGGGGAGGGTGCATGTTACTAAAATGCAGGGGTTTGCCTAGAAGTGAGTAATAAGTGATAAGAAAAGTGGTCTGAAACACTTGAGCCAGCACATATTATTTTCAACCGTGAGCAAGAAAACACAAGTGGCTAATTCACAGTCTTTAGAGATATCAGATTTTCCACAAGCAGCTCAATTTATATGCCACAAAATCTTGCATAAGTACACAGTATTCAGTTTGCATATATTGTATGTAAGGCTCATGCATTTAAGTGAATGAATATACTTAGTAATATGTTATCTATACTTATACTCAATTCATTTTTTTCTCTCTTAATGTGTCCAGGAATTCATCTGTGAAAAAACTGTGATGAAACAAGAAATAATGAAGCCAGAAGAATATAAAAGTTCATCCAGCCTTTTAAAGAGATGACTTCAAAACCAAAGAAATGATAGCAAATGAGGACAATATATAAAACAAAAGTCCTGCAAGGAGACATGGAATAAAATATTGCATTGCATGGGCACTTGGAATGCTTTATATTGTACACATGGATGCTGTCACTGGAAGCATTATTCACATGGGTTCAGGATCAGACTCCTACAGACAAGAACACAGAAATCACACTTTTAGTCTTGTTTATTAAGGAACAAAGACAAAAATAAGCAGTTAGGCATCAGCGAAGCCATATTAGAAGTATTTTTGCTTTTCAACTTCAATTTGCTGATTGTTTTGCATTCATTTTAAGTGAATTTCCTCTGCCTTTCTCTAAGCAAGCAAAGCATAGCAGCATAGCCTTACATTTTTCTACCCTTGTGTCTCTTCTCAACAACATGCCACACATCTTTACAGCATATAATGTCTGCTTAATAAATGGGTGTTCCCAACCGAAGCATATCTCCTTCAAGCCCCTAATTACTAACTTTACGCCTATTTAATCATCTAGATGCAAGGAAAAGATTTCTGTAATAAATTGGCATTGTACAATCCACTCCCAGACTGAAGTGATGACTGGATGATTATTCTTTGACAGGTAAATCTTTGATCATCTTCCACTCTAGCTACACTCAGTATAGCTTCTTACTTTCCCCATGATGCTGTTCCTCTTCAGAACTCTTCTCTGCGCCCTCAAATGCTTCAATAAATCTTGTTCCAATTTAAGCCACTGTCCCATTCATCTTAGTCAGTGGAAATTAGTCAGTTCATTTAAGATTTTTCAAAACCAACAGACCACAGTCCATGTTCAACAATACTTTAACATAATAGGATCGCTAACTGACTGCCAGTTTCTCCATTACACTGTTCAGTTCTCAAAATTTTTAAGTAAATTGTTTGATGTGTGGAAAATTATTTTATGAGATTTTAAAATGTGATAAGTAAAATAAATGGTCCACAGTGAAGCGATTTACTTATATTCAAACATGCTGCCTATAAATAATCTGAACCTTTATATTTTAAAGTATTTCAGTAAGTGTATATTAACAACAAAGTTTAATGGAGATTAAATATTAATATACCTGGTACTTGTATTAGCTAGCAAAGACATTGTTACTGGATGATAATGATATAAATATTAATAAAGAAAAGGTTTTTTTTTTTAAAAAATCAGATCTTTATCCTTTCTTGTATACTGCAGTAATGCTTAAATCTGTTATTCCATTTTGGACAGAGAATGTCTATGGGAAGACCATGTACAGTTGCAAATACTGATAGAATTGCCATACCTTTATTATAAAAAAGGGCAAATGTCAGAAGGTGCATCTTTCATGACCAGTTCCAGCTACTAGCATTATATATTTTAACCAATCCTCAAAGTTGCAGAAATATATTGCATCTCACCACCCTAGGTATGGATGGTGTATTCACTCTGAAGTGGGCTCTGTCTGATTAAACACAAATTTAACACTTAGAACTAAGTAGCCTAAAAATCAGATTATATATAAATTATAATCCATGGCCTTTTAGAATTCTCAGAGCTCTTGTCTTCGCACCTATACTTCGCCTCATACAGTACCTGATTATGGGAAATGTCTGGATGGTTTCTAAACCAAAAATACAAACTTGTTATTTTTTATGATTCCATTTTTTAAATACCAACTTAAAATTAATGGAATAACTTTGCTAACAGCTATATTGTTTCTCAGTAATGAAATGAAATAATGTATTGGTGAGATGTTCAGGATCAATGACCGAAATGTCAGAGAAATATCACGACAAGATAGCTGATTATGCCATACCTTTACAAATGGCCTTGCATTTGCCCCAAGGTGGCAAATTTAATAAATGTACTCAATTATGGTGCAGGAAGTGGTGAATAAAAAGCAAACATAATGAGCAGGAAGAGTAATACCAAACAATGTAAAGCAGTGAGGTCAAATGTCTATTTGAGGAGTGCTTTAAAAAAACAATACAAATGTATAGGTTTGCAGCAAATGGTGAGATTAATGTTGTATATTTACTGCTATACATATTGGTTTTCTACACTTAGTGCATTGCAAATATATATGTATGGTAACTTCTCTGCAAAAAAATAATCCCCACCTAGGTAAACCTTGGATAAATGTCTGCTTTATTATAAAGATGCATTGAGTTCTGTCTTCTCAGAAGAATGACAGGTCAACCTTGAAGGGCAGGCTTCTTTCAAATGAAATGGACAATATAAAAGTATGAGTTAATAGCTACACTATATTTGCCAATTTATCATATATAGACAGACAAGAGTTATAGAGATTTCTCAGTCTTACTATCATTAGAAGGCATTGGTTGTTGTATTGCTCTTCTGCTCCCAACATATTTAATTGGATCAAGTAGAAGTTCAATATACTGGAGAAATATCAAAAGGGGATTGATTCATCCAATTAACTAATTCCAATGGGATGAAATTGAGCCCCAAATATACTCAGTCATGCACAGGGTTAAACTAATGCTACCTGGTTCTGTGGTGGAAAGACCTAAACCAGGAGTTTCAAACTCAATTATCATGTTTATTAACCAAAAGGCTGCAACACTGAAGTCTTTTTCATATACTGATGCACTCTTCATTTTTGGCTCTAGTGAATCAAAAATGAAGAGTATATGTTTACATTACATGTGTAAACATAAAATTTATTTAAAGTAATTTTGTTAGATGTTAAATATTTATTGAATAAATACAATCTGTCACTTGGAAAAAAGCTGACTCCTATTTGATGTTTTCCATTGATGTTTTTAATGGGAAGCATGGAGGTTTCAGATCATTTTAAGATTTGTGTCTAAGCCTTACCTATCTTGAAGGGCTATCATGAGTGGAAAGGGGGCAGTTAGGTGCGGAACCTGGGATTAGCAGCTTTGTGATGCATGGGAGTAAAGGAGTGGTAATTCAGTATCAACAAGAGGATAGACCAGCGGTTCTCAACCTATGGGTCGCAACCCCATTTGGGGTCGATCGACCATTTCATGGGGGTCGCCAAGCAAGGCTGTCCGCCATTTTTCCCCCCTTTTCCGGTGGGTGCCTTACCTCCCTTGGGCTGGGCCAGCTGGTGGCCCAGCCGGTGGTCGGCCTGCTCCGTCTCTGCCGCTTGCCAACTACGCCTCGGCTGGTGCAGGGGGCGGCACCACGCATGCGCAGCGCTCCTGGGTAGGGAGTCGTTGACTTACGACCGGTTGGGTAGTCCTCAGCTTACGACCACTTTAGTCCTCAACTTACGACCGGTTTAGTCCTCGACTTACGACCAGTTGGGGGGTCACAGCATTAAAAAGGTTGAGAACCACTGGGATAGACGGTCCTGTCTGAACGCAGATTCTGGGTGACAAGTGAAAGAGAGCTATTAAAGATCAGCAGATTCATAATCTCAGCCTTCCCCTGGCAAAATTGAACGATTAGGGCTGTGCCAGAAAACATCTTGTTCCTGCCATTTGGGCTGAGGTGACCTTCCATCCTCCACAGCTGATAGAAGGCAGCAGTTTAGGGCTTGTGTCACTCTGTGCTTCCTTGCCTTCTGCAGCTAGTAGTTGGTGCCTGAATGGGAAGTAGCAGTGATAGGGCATCTTTTAGCATTTTAGCTGGGAAAGGAGTGTGCCTCTTAGTACAAGGGTGCCAGGCAGGGGTGGAGAAAGAATAGTAGGAATAATGATGTGTTCCTGCTCTATTCTCTGCAAGCTGTAGCTGTAGTGAATTGATAGTCCTTGATCTGAGCTATGACAGCTTCTTGATGTGGATGTGGACTGTGCAAAAAAACTCCCAAGAGGCTGCATGCACCCTGTAGGCCACAAGTTTCAGACTCTTGATTTACATCGTACTTTTCCAAATGAATGATTAAGTTAGAAGCTCTGATTTAATTTCCTCTAAACCAGGCGTCTGCAAGCTTGTCGACTTTAAGACTTGTGGACTTCAACTTCCAGAATTCTTCCATGTTGGCTGAGGAATTCTGGGAGTTGAAGTCCACAAGTCTTAAAGTTACCAAGCTTGGAGATCCCTGCTCTAAGTAAATACAATGATTTGTTGAAGGTTTATTGAATATTGTATTCTAGTAGTAAATGAACAAGTTAAATATTTAGGGGTGCAAATCAGTAAAACCAGTAAATAAATTGTAGTTGCTCATTTACACAGACAGATTTTATTTTAAACGGACTAGGTTTTAGTTTACATTATCAGGCGGTATAACAACAATGAAAACCCTGGCATTTCCAAAATCTGTGTATTTGCTTTCTACTTTACTTTGCTAGTTCACTCTTACCATTATAGTTTAAAGACTCACAAACAATCCTGAGATCATTTATTTTTTATTTTTTAAAGTAGCCTCTAAAAACTTCTTTTTTATATAAATAACACAACATGGGAGGATTGGGATATATTCAATCTCCTTAATATTAGGGATCTTATTTGGGGTATGAAGATTTATCATAAGATTTAGCTTATGATAAGATACTCTATGAAAAGAATTGGGAAAGAAATAAACAATGCAATAGCATTCTATTTATAATAAACAATTTTCAATAAAAGCTATCTCAAATTGTTTTTTAAATCCAATTAAGTTAGACTGTGGAAATATAGAAAGAAAGAAAGAAAAAGTCTCTTTAATCTCACCAGTCATTCTAATTTTTAATCATTCAAGATTTTGTTCAAAAGAAAATCAAAGATAAATATCTTTTTGGAAATAAAACAACTTATTTCATCTAAGAGTTTTTTTTATAAGATATGTATCATTTTCCAATGCAACCATGAAATTTAAAATGCAATTAATTTCATTATTATGGCATTTTATTACTACTTATCACATTTAAGTAGAAATTATTTGTTGGATTGATAGAAAATTGAAAGAAAACAGGGTTCCATGCACCTCGGCATATAGTCATGCTGGCCACACAACCATGAAAATGTCTTTGCACAATGCTGGCTCCCTTGGCTAAGATATAGAGACGAGCACGGCCAGGGCTTTTTTTTGTCATAGAACGCCCAGAACGGAGTTCCGGCACCATTTTTGGATGAAACCTTGTAGGATAGGCAAGGCGGGTGGTATGACATGTGTGAGTTCTGGTACCTTTTTTTTTTTTTTTTTACAAAAAAAGCACTGAGCACGGCCCCGTAGAGTTGGACACAACCAGACAGGGGAAACCTTTACATTTACTTTTTGATAGAAAATTAATCAAATTTGAACAGGCAGAATTCATTTAGCATGTCCCATGTTATCAAAGATGGTGAAAGCTGTGGAACCACAATGGGTCAAGACTCTCTTTGTCTGGACTTATGTCTTTCTTCCCAAGTCCTTCTATAGATACATCAAAGTTGTTGCTCTTTAACTAAGTGGCAATTAGTATTTCAATAACTCTTTTACATCCTTATATACTGAATTACAGAGATGTTACAGGCAGACAATGAGCATGTCTAAAAGATTCCAATGAAGTCAGTTCATCCCAGTGCTAAAAGAAATGTTCTAAAAATATTTAGGCTTTTGTTTGTCTCAGACAACTTTCAAAAGTTCAGAACTTTTAGTTCTCAGCAGTTTTAAAAATCAGTTTAAATTGTTTATTTGTTTATAGAACTTATATGGCTGTCTATCTCACATAATGAACATAGGTGGCTCACAATAACTGATTAAAGGAGGAATACAGACAAAAGCGCTCTTCCCACCAGATGCTAGACAAATCAGCCTCCTAAACAAACAACCATCCTTGGCCTAATGCTTGGGAAAAGATCCAGATCTTCATGGCCTCTGGAGGGCTAAAAGAATAGACATCCCTTGAATCTCAGGTGGGAGACTATTCCAAAAGGCAGGTGTGCCTCCAAGGTTCTATCAGTTGACAACATTTAAGTGATGAAACCTGCAATGGACAGAAGGAAAAACCTTGAAGAACAGGAGGAAGAGCTGCAACCAAAACAACAGTCAGATAAATATATATTTGAATCTGGGGAGACATGTAATTTGAGAAAGTTACATGTTTGCTCCTCCCA